ATTCTTTTCATTAATTATCCACAGAAGGAGTAGGAATTTAGCTAGAAACTTCAGATAATGATAGGTTTGCAAAGTGCTTTATGAATATCATCTCATTTGATTCTCAAAACTCTGTGAGGTAGGTGCTATTATCATCCCTCTTTTATAGATGAGGAAATGAGGCTGATAAATCATTAAGTGATTTGTCCAGGATCACACAGTTAATAAGTGTCTTCAGGGAAGGCCTCCCTGACTCCAGGTCCAGGGCTCTATCCACTGTATCATCTAGTTTCCTCTACTGGTAATACTAATGGAAAGGGAAACAGGCAAGCCAATCCCAGGCATTAAAAAAGAAAGGTACTGAAAAGTGTTCCTTATCCTCCTAATCCTCTGCCCTTTTCTTACATTCTCACCAGTCCCCCATTTTTACTTCTTACCACTCCACATCACTCTCTTCATCCTTGCTAGAGTCTTTCCCATTGGCCACATGAGTCACTTTGACATGGGAGAATACTTGCTTCTACTTACTGGTAAGTTAGGAAGATGAAAGGAGAAAGCATTACTAATTCCATTTGCTTTCTTCCCTCTTCTTTTAGCATCCTGAAATCTGACTTCTGACCTCATCACTTAGTAGAAAATGCTTTCTCCAAAGTTACTCATGATCTCTAAATGATAAAATTTTCAGTCAATTATCATATAAGCAATTATTAAGTGCCTACCTAAGCCAGGCACTGTACTAAGAACTAAGGATAGAAAGAAAGGTAAAAATAGCCCCTAGTATGAAGGAGCTCACAGATCTATAAAGGTAACATGCAAACAATTATGTGCAAATAAGATATGCAGTCAGTCAGTAATTCTTTATTAAGTACCTGCTACATACTGTGCTAAGTGCCAGGGTCCTGTTCAAGGAGATCACAGTCTAATAGAAGAGACAACATGAAAATGCCTATCTATAATCAAGATATATGGAGGATAAATTGGAAATAATCAATGGAGGGAAGACATTAGAATTAATAGAGATTAGGAAAGGCTACCTGTAGAAGGTGGTATTTTAGCTGGGACTTTAAGGAAGCAAATGAAGGCAGGAGGCAGAGATGAGGAGGGAGAGCAGTTCATGAACAGGGGACAATGAGAAAAAATGCCCCGAATTTGGAGATGGAATGTGTTGTTCATGGAGGCCAGTGTCACTGGATCACAGAGTACACAGAAGAGAATAAGGGAATAATGATAAAGATGATAATAATAATTACTATTTTTATAATTTTGACTGGAAGAGTCTGTGAATGTATGAAAATATTATTCATAGTTCATAGCACTGAAAAAGTTATACTAACCACTGAATTATATACAATTAATAAACAAAATATATTGAAAATATATTTCAATATTATTATTATTTATAAAAGATTATGGATATACAATAGCTTCAGAATGATGCTATACATGGAAGCAATATGTAATTGAAGAAGAAACAGACTCAATCCTTAACATTTAGACAGATCCATTTGTGGATATTTAAAAAGGATATACTTTTTAATAAAATTGTTTAAGAAACACCATTTTTCTAAGGCTATATGAATTATAACATAAAAAGTGCACAATTCAATAAGCTCCTATATATGTACACATCAGAAATGTGATCCTTTTTCTTAATTGCCCTCCATACCTTGATCGCACATTATGAAAATTAAAAAGTGAAATTTCAACAACTGACAATATTGTGATACTGTACTAAAACATTTCAACTCAACTCATAAAATGCTTAAGTATTAACTGCAACTTATCTATGCTGTTATGCTAAAATAATAAATATTAAAAGTACCTATAATAAAGAAATTTTAGATTTAAAAAAACTTTTTGTTTTTCTTTGTTCTTGACTATTTATGTCCCTGAAGAAGACTGATATTTTAAAACTCGTTAAGACTGATGAAGATGATTTTTGTATATAATTTTATTTTATTTTTAATAGTATTTTATTTTTTCCAATTACATGAAAAGACAAATTTTAATATTCTTCTTTTTAAAAAAAATTCAGTTCTTGATTCAATCATTCTGTAGAGCAGTTTGGAACTATGTCCAAAGGACTATAAAAGTATGCATACCCTTTGACCTAGCAAGGTCTATATCCCAAAAGAGATTTTTAAAAAAGTACTTATATGTACAAACACTTTTATAGCAGCTCATTTCTGGGGGCAAAGAATTAGAAATAGAGGGGATGCCCATCAATCGGAGAATGGCTGAATGAGTTGTGCTATGTGATTATGATGGAACATCATTGTACTGTAAGAAATGATGAACAGGATGCTCTCAGAAAAATCTGGAAAATAAGAAGATACAGTGTGTCCAAAAAAAAGTTTTGAGTTCTGAATTTTCTCCCTCCGTCCCGTACCTCCTTCCTCTGTAAGATGGTAAGCAATTTGATATAGGTTATGTATTTGCAATCATGTAAAACATATTTCCATATTAGTCATGTTGTGAAAGGAGAAATAGACTAGAAGAAATACACACACACACACACACACACACACACAAATAAAGTGAAAATAGCATGCTTTGATTTGCGTTCAGACTCTATCAGTTCTTTCTCTGGACGGGAATAACATTTTTCACCATGAGTCCTTTGAAATTGTCTTGAATCCATGTATAACCTATATCAGATTGCTTGCCTTCTCAGTAAGAGGAGGAGGGGGGAGGGGAAAGGTGGGAGAGAATTTAGAATTCAAAAATTTTTAAATGAATGTTAAAATTATTTTTGTAGATCATTGGAGAAAATATTAAATTTTTTTCAAAAAAGAAACTGTTTTAGATCACTGTATTGCTGAGAAGAGCTAACTCATTCACAGCTGATCATCATACATCATTGCTATTACTGTGTACAATGTTTTCCTGGTTCTGCTCACTTCATTTTTAATCAGTTCATGTAAGTTTTTCCAAGTTTTTTCCGAAATCCACCTGATTGTCATTTCTTATAGTACAATAGTATTTCATTACATTCATATACCCCAAGTGTTCAGCCATTCCAATTCTTTGCCGCCAAAGAAAGGTGCTATAAATATTTTTGTACAAGTAGGTCCTTCTTCTCCCCCTTCTCCTGTTTTTTTTTTTTTATCTCTTTGAGATATAGACCTAGTAGTGGTACTGGATCAAATGGTATGCAGAGTTTTATAGCCCTTTGGGTATAGGATAAACATGATTTTTAAGTAGATCTGCTAAACTATAAAAGTTAAAATTTAAAAACAATAATCAAACAGAGTCAATTGTTGCGTATTCCAAGTTCATTCACATATCTCTTTTCTATGGCAACTTTTGTAGGAAATTATTTTCCCTACAAAGAACCAGAAAGCTCTCTACCCTGGAAACTCACTCTAGACTTCATAAAATGGCCACTCCTTTTGATTGGCTGGTTCCTTCCAGAATGTTCATTTTAAAGAAGATATTCAGGCCACCAATGTTTTTGTTCCTCTCCAGATACCTCTTGTGATTCTTCTTCTCTACTTTCTCTACAATGCCCTCTAGCTTGGTAACTTCCCCTTTCTTCCTTCTAGCTTCCTTTTATATCCCCGGTCTTCTCCATTATAATGTAAGTTTTATGATGACAAGGACTATCTTTCTTTCTACTTGCATTTTTATTTCTAATGCTCTGCACAGTGCCTGGTACATTGTATGTACTTAAAATTGTTGATTAGCTTTCCCCTCCTCATTTTGAAACACTATTAAAAGATAGTAAGCTTCTTATGCCAAAACCCATGCCAATTAAGTTTTCAAAATTAATATTAGATATATCATACTATAATATTAATCTTAAAAGTTTTAAAATTTATATTCCATTCATAGCTTTTCATGAATTTTAAAGGTATTTAGTGCTACATATAAATTATAGTTAAATGTAAGTTACATTGTGTTGTGTAGTTGAATTCAATGCTGTGCATTTTATTTAGTTGTACTGAGTGAGATCCAAGGTTCACAAAAAAAGTGATATATATGATATTAGGGATCTAATTTTACTGTTACCATTATGATTATCACAGATGCCCACATAAAAACTCACTAAATGATAAATGCTGGAGAAGATGTGGGAAAATTAAAACACTAATGCATTGTTGGTGGAGTTGTAAACTGATCCAACCATTTTGGAGAACAATTTGGAACTATGACCAAATGGCTATAAAAATGTGCACATCCTTTTATCCAGTAACAGCACTTCTAGAACTGTATCCCAAAGAGATCATAAAAATGGGAAAAGGACCCACAGGTACAAAAATATTTATAGCAGCTCTTTCTGTGGTGGCAAAGAATTGGAAATTGAGGGGATGTCCATTAATTGGGGAACGACTGAACAAGTTGTGGTATATGAATGTAATGGAAAAACCTGGAAAGACTTGTATGGACCCATGCTGAGTGAAATGAGCAGAACCAGGAGAATATTGTACATAGTAACAGCCATGTTGTACAATGACTAACTTTGAAAGACTTAACTCTTCTTAGCAATGCAAGGATCTAAGACATCTCAAAAAGTCTTATGTTGGAAAATGCTATCTACATCCAGAGAAAGAACTATGGAGTTTGAATGCAGATTGAAGCATACTGTTTGCTCTTTTTTTTCTTCTGTTCTGTTTTATTTCTTCTTTCTTGTGGTTCCTCCTATTGGTTCTAATTCTTCCTTACTACATGACTAACACGAAAATATGCTTAATAGGAATGTATATGTAGAACCTATATAAGATTGCATGCTGTCTTGTGGAGGGAGGTGGAGAAAATTTTAAACTCAAAAGCGATCATTAAAAATTAAAAATAAATTGACCAATTTTTTTTAAAAATAAAAAAATAAAAAATCTCACTAAATTGCATCCTAAAAATATATACTCTCTCTATATACAATAACTATATTAGGGCTGCTCTGATGATTGTCTAATATTTCCATACACTTCAAAGGTAAAAAGTAAAATACCACCTCAAATATTCTGACATTGCAATGAAATATTTTACTGGAAATGAATACATTTAAGGAAATCATTACTTACAGTAGTTGCACAATGGATATCTTTCCACACTGAAGCTTCCCTGGAAAGATCAGAGACTTCAAAAAAATTATCCACAATCACTTCCCCAATCATGTCATGCCTCGAAAATCTGTCAAAATCATATATACTTAAGTGTAGTTTTCTGTTGCTCAGTTGGTCATACGCTACAGGAAATTGAAAGGTTTCTTCAAATAAGGGGTTTAAAGTCTTTCTGTGTACCCGGGTCTGAAACTTCTTTTTTCTATCCGGAAGAAGATATATTTTCACATAGGGGTCAGATGTTCCTGTGAAGTCTTTTGCAGGTAAATCTAGGGCTTTGATAATATTAACAATGAGTAGTTCATTCTCATAATCATACTGGAGAGTAAAGTTAAGTTTCCCACAAAATTTGACATCTTCTTTCCTGCTGCCCTCAGAGTCAACTGACTTCTGTTTATAGAGCTCAGGTTTTATTCTCCCAATGCTGGTGGTTGTCTCTCCCCTCCATAAAACTTGTTCTGTGCCCATAGAAAAATCAACACTGGACACTTGCATTTGCCTTGGTAGATGTCTCCTGAAGGAATTATGCCTGCATGTACACAAAGAAGATAGACACACACTGCTTAGGTTATCTAGAATAAAAGGTACACAAATATAACTATTTCCCCATCTTTTACATAATTAAACATTTTTTAAAAAAGCAGAACTATGGCAAGCTAACAAGCTTCAGAAAAATTCACCTAGTGGTATTTTTTTTTCACAAATCAGATCCGCACTAATGTATTTTTCTTCGAATTTTTGGCACTTTGCATAACAATTCTCAAAAGGAACATTTGACATATATATATGTGTGTGCGTGTGTGTGTGTGTGTGTGTGCATGTGTGTGTGTGTATGCACACATACATATATGTAAAGATAGATCGAGGGCAGCTAGATGGCGCAGTGGATAGAGCAGTGGCTCTGAAGTCATTAGGACCTGAGTTCAAATCTGATCTCAGACCAAATACTTGACACTTACTAGCTGTGTGACCCTGGGCAAGTCACTTAACTCCAATTGCCTAAAAAAAAAAGATAGATCATGGGGACAGGGAGGGTCCCCCAAGAAATGTCTACTTGAGATTGGTATTTTCTGGGTCTGTATTCCCCCAAAATACATCTTGTGACCCTTTACTTACATGTTTAGCTTTAACAGTCAGAGAACACAAATATTTCAAATTAAAGACATTTAATAAGAAAAGTAGCAACAAACCATTTCCTCCATAAACCCACATTCTTCCACAAATATGTACATTAATAAGAAGAGCGGTCATATGTGGGGAACACATGAGGCCAGGATGTATGTGTAGAAGGATACATACAAGGAGCAACTGTGGCACATGTAAGGAAGGGCAATAAACACTTCAGTGTGGAACTGCCTTTCTGCAGTAATGCCCTTTTTGTTGCCTCCACTGGGCATTCCCCTTTCATCACATAGTTTCTGGTAGATGTTGTTTTGCATAGTACCATTTAGAAACTGTCACATCAGATATAATTTCCTAGATATTGCGTGGCTACATTCACAGTCTTGAGCTTCTGACTCAGCTGAAATGATGGTGATGATGATGATGATGATGATGATGATGATGATGGTGCAGCGGATAGAGCATTGAACCTATAATCAGGAAGATCCAAGTTAAAATCTGGCCTCAGATACTTAGCTGTGGATCCTTGAGCAAGTCTTTTGACTTCTGTTTGCATCAGTTTCCTCATTTGTAAACCGGAGATAATAAAAGCACCTACTTCTTTGAAACTTAAAATTGATGCCCTACTTTATTCTGTATTATTTATTAATTATTGTTTGAGAATTATATCTAATCCCTGGAATCAGTACTTAGGTATTAGTTTGATTTAAAAGGATAGTTTGAATACTTAACATTAGAAGGTCTGATTTCTAATGAAAGCGTAACTTCCCTATTTTTCTGGGCTGCAGCTTGGGCTCTTATTGCATATGAGAAGAAGGAGGTGGTGAACCCCCACAGTCATCAGAAATTTTGTCTGCCTGGTAATAAGTAATAGTTCTTTAACACATGACTTTACAGAGGATAATGATTAACTGTTTCTCTCACTGTCATTTGTCCTGGAAATCCCCTCCTGTAAATTATTCTAAATGTAAGACTACCTTTCACCTTTACCAACTCTATAAAAGACTGCTCTATCTGCTCTAATGCATCTCTGGCCACTGAGGGACTATTGGAAATAACTTACTGGCAACTGCTACCAATACTAAGAAATGATCATGTTGGGAAACTTTTTGCCTCTTCATAGATTTCTATTGACACAATCCAGGGTGTTGTGAGGATCGAAGTAGTTAATATTTCTAAATGATGCAGCAGAGTACCTAGTACATAGTAGGTGCTATATAAATGCTGGCCATTATCACTAGTTATATATTCCATTAAGGTTTACTCTATCTACTGCATCACCTAGATCTATGTCTTCAAAATAAGAGCAGGGATTGCCATGCTCTCTCTGTTTACATAAAACCTACAGGCTTTTTCTAACTCTTTTAGAAAAGATAGCAACAGTATCTGGAGCCAAGATGGTAGAATGGTAGGAGGTAATGTGGTGAGTTCCATTCCATGAACTTCTGATAGATCTAGGAAATGCACCAGACCAAATCCTGATGGAGAAATCCAGAAAAAGTCATAGGTAGTCATTTGTCAAAATTAGCTTGGCATAGGGAGACAGACAGGGAGGTCTGTAGACCTTGAGGGGTCAGGGAAGAAATGCCACAAACAATGCGCTTAGGGAGAAGTAGTTCAAGACCTCTACAGGGGCTCATCCAGACTCATACCAGGACATTTTGACAGGTAGATGCTGTCTACCACCGACTTCTAGGTCACAGATCTGGGGTGGACTAAGAAATGGACTTACTAATGAGAATGGGGCAATAAAAGGGGAAATTCTGAAGCAAGCAATAGTTGGGATTAGATATCATGCCAGAGCAAGATCTCACTTGCAGTATCTAGCCCAGGGTACAGATAAATAATTCCAGGCCAATAGATAGTCATCAATTCTGCCACTCTGAACCAACAAAGTTTCCCCTCTGACTAATAGGGGTGGAGTCCAGCAGCAGTCTACTTTTGCTCAAGAGAATCCAACCCACTTCAGGAACTTGCAGATATCTCAGACCAGAAGGGCAGCACTCAGACTTTGCCCTGGATCAGACCACTCTGGAAGCACTGAAAACTTACTGGATCTGAGCTTGAACTGCCCCTGAGATCTACAATAAATCCCAAGAAAGCAGCAACCAGCCCAGCCCAGACTTTCCCTCTAGAAATTTGGCAGAGATCAGCCCTAGCATCAAATATGAAGTCAAGACATAGGCTGGAAGAATGGGCAAACAAAAAAGGAACCCAACTATAATGAGCTATAATTGTGGCAGAAACACTCAAGATACAAACATGAAAGAAAAGAATGACTACAAAATATTTACAAAAAATGCCTCAGGGAAGAACACAGCTTGAGCAGAAATTCAACTAAAATTCTTGAAAGAGATGATGTTTTTAGAAGTGTTAAATGTTTTTATAAGTAGAATTAGAGCACTTGAAAGAAATTGGAGCTATGGAAGAAAGAATTGAAAGAGAAATGAACAGCTTGGTACAATCCAAAATCTTGCCCAGACAAACTCCCTGAAAATTAGTCTTAGCAAATAGAAGCCATGAGACAGCAAGAAATATTACAACAAAGTCAAAAATCTAAAAAGAGAAGAACATAAAGTATCTCATAGCAAAAACAAATGACCTGGAAAACAAATTGAAGAGCAAAAATTTGAGAAGTGTTGGACTTCTGAATACCATATTAAAAAAAGAGAGTAGACATTAAATTTCAAGAAATCTTTCTTTTTTTTTGTTTTTATTTTTTCCCTTGGGCAATGGGGTTAAGTGACTTGCTAGGGTCACACAGATAGTAAGTGTTATATGTCTGAGGCCAGATTTGAACTCAGGTCCTCCTGAATCCAGGGTTGGTGCTCTATCCACTGCACTACCTAGCTGCCCCCTCAAGAAATCTTAAGAGAAAACTTCCCACAATTCCAAAAAGCAAGGTGGAAATAAAAAGAATCACCATTTGAAAGAAATTCCTCATCACACCTATCAGATTGGCTAACATGTAAAACAGGAAAATGATAAATGCTGGAGAAGATGTGGGAAAATTGTAACACTAATGCATTGTTGGTGGAGTTGTGAACTGATCAACCATTCTGGAGAGCAATTTGAAACTATGCATAAGCTATAAAACCGTACATACCGTTTGACCCAGCAACACCACTTTTAGGGCTGTATCCCAAAGAGAGCATACAAATGGGAAAAGGACCCACATGTACAAAAAATTTATAGCAGCTCTTTTTGTGGTGGCCAAGAATTGGAAATTGAAGGGATGCTCATCAACTGGGGAATAGCTGAACAAGTTGTGGTATATGAATGCAGTGGAATACTATTGTGCTTTAAGAAATGATAATCAAGCAAACTTCAGAAAAACCAGAAAGACATATATGAACTGATGCTGACTGAAGTGAGCAGAGCCAGGAAAACATTGTACACAGTAACAGCCACATTATGCAATGACTAACTTTGATAGATTTATCACTTCTTAGCAATGTAAGGATCTAAGACATCTCCAAAAGTCTCATGATGGAAAACGCTGTCCACATCCAGAAAAAGAACTATAGAGCCTGAAAGCAGATTGAAGCATATTATTTGCTCTCTCTCTTTTTTCTTTCTTCTTTCTCCTGGTTTCTCCAGTTGGTTCCAATTCTTCTTTACAACATGACTAATGTGAAAATAAGTTCAACATGAGTGTATGTGTTGAGTCTATATCAATTTACATGCCATCTTGGGGTGGGGGAGGAGGGAGATAGGGAGAAAATTTGAAACTCAAAATTTTATGGAAGTGAATGTTGAAAACTAAATATAAATAAATAATTTTATTTAAAAAAAGAAATAAATCCCAAAATTGTAACTCCCAGGATATCACAACTAAATTCTGGAACTTCGAGGTCAAAGAAAAAGTACTGCAAACAGCCAGAAAGAAAGAATTCAGGTACCAAGGAGCCATAGTCAAGATGACACACAACCTAGTAGCCACCACTAAAAACAAGTGGAAAAGATTAATAAATATGTTATTCCAGAAAGGAAAGGCTATGGGCTTAGAGTCAAGATTAATTTACTCATCAAAACTTAGTATAATGTTACAGTGGGAAAAAGTAGACCATTCATGAGGCCCACTGGACCTATTCTGCCCAAAATGACCTATCTTAACCAATTAGCTCAATATTCTATCCAGGCACAATGTTGGGACCATCCTGATTATTGATGATGAAAAGAAAGACCAGAGTTGCAGAGAAGTTCTGAAGTTTAAACACAGGCATGAAGAGAAGCATAGGTAAGTAAACATGAAAGAACAATGATAAAGGACTAAACAAAGATAAATTGCTTATACTCAAATATGGGAAGATGGAACCCTTCTGAACCCTACTATCATTATCCAATTAGGTAAGGCCTTGGAGTAATTCTGTCATTTTGATGATCTTAAGAAAAGAATGGAGAGGG